GATGACCCCATTTTCCATACCAAAAATCATATAAAAATCTATGGTCTGAAAAGAGGGTACCTTTCCCTTAATGTAACTCCCATTGGAGGCTACAAAGGGAGAGAGGGATAAACAAAGAATAATATAATGCAGCCTAAAAGTGTTATAATAGAAGCATAGGCAGACGGCAAGCAGCTCCATCTAGGGGAGCCACATGGAAGAGCAAGTGCCATTTGAGCTGGGTATTGAAAGCCAGGCAAGAGTTTGTTAGCTGGCTGAGAGGCAAGCAGATGAGCATGAACCTACATGAGGAGGCAGGAAGGGTCTGACCTGACAAAAGAGCAGTGAGCAGCAAGGGGCAAAGGCGCCTGCAGGCAAAGACCTGGATGTAAGAAAGTTGAACTTTTTTGTGTGAGTGATGGGCAGCTGGTGAATGATTTCAAGTAGGAGGTTGATATGATTACATTTTTTTTTTTAAAACCAACACCCAGGCTGCAAATAGATTATGAAGGAACAATTAATACACATTTCTTGAGTATAATAGCTAACACTTTACTGTGTATATGTCAGGCACTGCTATGAATGTATTACATACGTATTCTCATTTAATTTGCATGACAACCCATTTTTACAAATGAAGAAGCTGAGATGTATGTGACATGCATCTAATAACTGTAAAAGATGGGAATACACCCAGACAGTCTGGGTCCAGAGTCCATGGTTCTCACTCTGCTGTTTCTTAGTGAATGCATATAATGACTGTTGCCTTTTGATGGGGATCCAGTAATGGGCAAGAAATGCCTTGCCCTAAAGGAGGATACAGGCTGCAGGAATGGCAGCAGAGATTAGGAAAGCCTGAACCAAGGCACAAGTGGTGATACTCAGTGTATTTGAGAACTCTTTGGGAGGTGAGATGACCAATAGAATGTGTAAGGTAAGAAAAGTTAAGGATGGCTCAGGTTACTGGATGGAAATTCCATTACCTGATATGGGGCACAGGGAAGGAGGGATAAGTGTGAGTCAGAAACACACGGAATGCAGTTTGTGACACAGTTTTTGGGGTGCCTGTGAGACGTCCAGATGGAGATGTGAAGAAATGTGTCAGAAATACACTACTGGAACTCGGGGGAGCAGCCAGGGTTAGATTCACAGATTTGGGAGGGAGTGAGATTATCCCGGGAGAGATGGAAGAATAAGAATAGAAAAGGACATTTAAGGTGGGTAAGAAAGAAAGAGAAAGAGAAAGAGAGAGAGAAAGAGAGACAGAAGGGAGGGAGGGAAGGTGAGAGGGAGGGAGGGGGAGAGTGAGAATGAGAGAGAGAGAGAGAGAGAGAGAGAGAGAGAGAGAGAGAGAGGAGAGAGAGAAAGAAAGAGAGACTTTTAAAAAGCAGGATGGAAAAACAGTAACAAACGCCAAAGCCAGAATCCTCAGCCAGCCTGTGAGTAACAGGGAGTAGGTGGTAAAAAGAGCAAAACATTCTTATTTTGGTCCTAAGGATGCCTGAACAGAAACAGAGATTATACCCGGTGTTAGGAAGAAGGTAAATATCCCACAGTCAACTGTTGATGATCTGTGCTCATGAAAATGCCTAGATAATCTTAGATCGCTGGAAAGTCACAAATGATTTCTTTAGACTTCAGAGACATACTTGCCACTACTTATTATTTTGGAGGCTTCAGCAATAATTCTTAACTAGGCATTCTAGGTTAATTATTTTTACATTTGCACACAGGTTTGATTGCCACCAGATGCTCACTTTTTAGTAACAATAACTCATCAGTCAGGTGACCTCATAAACATAGAACTAACATAGACATTCTTGATCCTTATAGTTCATAAATTTGATTAAATTACCCATATTATTGCTCACAGATAACAATTAGAGAAAAATTGCAAAAGAACGAACACCCAGTGTTTAATTTCATTACCTTAACACTATGATATTAGAGATAGAGTATGTAATTTTAGAATTAGGCTCTTGGGGTGGACTCTACCAGTTCATCCTTTAGCCACAGCAGATCTTCCTAAGGCCTCCTCTGTTTCAGACATAACAACGTTCATCTCAGACTTATTCTAACCAGGTATCCCCTGGGTTAGTCAATTTGGGATTGTTCTCTCCTCAGCTGACTTTTTGGTACTTTCTAAGCATGGTGTCTCATACACAGAATGCACTCAATAAATATTTGTTGAATAAATGTATAAACTGTCAGTTCTGCTTAGTGTAAGCTGTTTATCCCAGCACTCATTTCTTGCTTGGCCCCCTGTCACCAATCAGATCTAGGCAGCCACGTGGCATCCTGGTGCTTCAGTGTGGAGGCCAGGAGAGGAGAGGAATCCTCACCCAACAGTCAGGTGTGTGTGTTTGTGTGTATGGAGAGAGGGAGAGAGATAAGGAGAGATTGGGAGAGACAGGGAAAGTTATTTTAAGAAATTGGCTCACAGGATTGTGGGGGCTGATAAGTGCAAAAGGCAGGCAGGCTAGAAACTCAGGTAGGATTTCTATATGATAGACTTAAGGCAGAATTCCTTCTTTGGGTAACCTCAGGTTTTGCTCTTATGTCCTTCAACTGATTGGACGAGGCCCACCCACGTTATCAAGAGTACTCTCCTTTACAAAGTCAATTCACTGTAGATGTTAATCCTTTCTACGAATACTTTCACAGAAACACCTGACTAGTATCTGACCAAGCATCTAAGCAACATAACCTAGCCAAGTTGACACAGAAAAGTTAACATCCCAGAAATGAATGCAGGGAAACTCATACAGGTCTTCAGGTGGTAGGAAATATTTAGTCAACAACCCAATTTGGGATGTCCAGAGGGTTGGTGAATTGTGGCTTCTTTCTGCTCAGAGTTGGTATTCAGGACAGTGGTGCCCTAGGTGGGGAGGGCAGCCTAGCAGTAGGTGTTTCCCGGTGGCGAAAACATTTGGGGTCAGGTGCCTTCCACCAGATGGTTCCTGATGGGCCACTGAGTCGCCGGGAGGGCATTAGTTCCCTCCAAGAATCTAGACATCAAGGCCAGAGCCTAGTGGTGTGGCTACCACAGGCCACAGCAGGGTAGTTTGGACAAAGGCTGTGTGTCTCCATTTCTTTTGGATGTCCCCTGACTCCAGGGGTCAATGTGGGGGAGGGGAGCTCCAGAAATGGTGCTGGCTGGAAGACTGCCCAGTGAGTACCAACAGATGTAACGATGGCAAGACACCCTCCTGGAGATAAGGGGCCTGGGTTCCAGGCTCAGCCCTGAACTAGCCCCAAGCATGACTTCAGTTTCCATATCTGTAAACTGGGAATTATCATACCTGCCCTTTTTCCCCCAAAGAACCATCTTGAGGACCAACTGAGAAAAAGGGTGCACAGAAGTGCCCTACGCAAGTGATTCAAAGACCACACACAAGAGGGTGGCAAGCTGCTGTCCTGTAGAAAGCACAGGCTTCAAACACACCATTCCTGGTTTGAACCCTGTTCTTTCACTTACTAGCATGTGGCCTTGCCCATGTTCTTAAACTGATTACAACTCAGTTTCCTCATTTCTAAAATAAGAACGACACAGCTGTATTCATCTCCCAGGACTGCCATAAAAAAGTACCACAACTGGTGGCTTAAAACAACAGAAATTTATCATGTCATAGTTCTGGAGGCTGGAAGGCCACATCGAGGTGTTGGTGGGGCCAGGTTCTCTCTGCAGACTCTAGGAGGATCCTTCCTTGTCTCCTCTAGCTTTTGGTGGTTGCCAGCAATACTTGGTGTTCCTTGGCTTCTAAATGCATCATTCCAATCTCTGCCTTCGAATTCCCATGGCATTCTCCTCTACATGTCTGTGTTCAAATTCCGTTCTTTTTATAAGGACGCCAGACAATGGATTAGGGTCCAGCCTAATCTAGTATGGCCACATCTTCACTTGAGTACATCTGCAAAGACCCTACTTCCAAATGAGGTCACATTCACAGGTCCTAGAGGTTAAAACTTCAAGATACATTTTGGCTGGGGGGACACAATTCAACCCTTAACAACAACCCCCATTACAGGGTTGGGAGCATAGGCTGGAGCTGCAAAGGTGGACAATCCCCCTTTCTTAGAGCTGGGATGTGGGGCCTGGCAAGGGGTCACTTCTTCAGCAGGCATGTTGGGTGCTCTCTTGGTCTCTACCCTGCTGGGCAGCCTTGAGGTACAGGCTCTGTTCTGGAGCATACCATGGCAGCTGAATCACGGGCACTGAGAGTGACTAGCGTGTTGGGCAAATCTGTATGACGCTCTGCACTTAGAGCCAGTTCAGCTAACAAGAGGAAAGGAAGGCTCTTCTGGTCCAGTAAGGTAAACTAGCAAAGTCAGCTATTTGCTGGCACTGTAATGATTATCTACTGATGGATGGGACCCAGCCAGGGTGACTCTTCCTCTGCTCTTCCCACCGGCCAGTATACTTGAAGGTCGTGTCTGTACTCTGCTGCCTGTTGGTGTGTTCTCACAAACTCACTGTGACACTCACCTTGGCCTACCAGAGGAGTCTTTCTGATAGGGGGCATGGAATGCAGAAAAGGGCAGGCCAGATATAAATGACATTAAATTATCTACAATTTGTTCTCCAGGACAGATCATTGAGAGAGAAAGAATCTACATTCCCTCTCCAGTTGCAACACTAGAAGTGAACATAGGTGGACTTGGAAGTTGGCAACGTGCTTGAGAAATGCTAGGGTGGCTTATCTGGGCTGCAGGCAAGGGACCAAAGTGACCCACGGGGCCAATCACCAACACAGGATCCACCAAGTATTGAATGACCATTCTTGGTCATCGCTATTCAGAGAGGCAGAAGCAATTTTTACTGGAAAGCCCACAAGCATGACTCTTCCATCCCTCCAGTTTGCAAGTTTGTGCAGCTGATAGGAGAAAAAATAGCCCAGCACATTTGCATTTAAGTCTTGAAATCTAAATATTTCCGTGAGTCATTCATTATTCCCGTATAACTCAGTGTTTGCATGCAAATAACTTTAATGACATAAATGCTTATAAAATAAGTCTCTTACCATATGAACGCGGTAAAGAATGCTAATTCCCAGAGTCATGAATGGCTTAGAGAAATCAATCACCTTCTCCCGTTCAGCTGTAATGGTGAGGCCTGCCACTGCCAGATCTGCTTTCTGAAAGGAACAGAGACAGCCTGTCAGTCGGGTGGCCACAGGAGACGAGGTACAGAGACTTGCGACCAGCAACCGTCACTGCTATTGGAGATGTGATGCTGGTCTGGCTTCTTGCTTGAGGAGTGGCTCTAAGTCAACAAAGCATACAGATCTGAATGATCACTCATAAAAGTACATGGATATTGAAGCTATAACTCATGTTCACTTGCCGTTAGATCCCTTTCAATACATAAACCATTTTAAAAACGGGGGTATCACTACTAGACTGTTCAGAGACGGTCTCAAAGTGTCCTAGGGTAGGGGCTCGGGAGGAGGAAACTGGCAGATTGGGCTCCTGCGTTCTCAATAGCTTTTTTTTTTTTTTTTTTCCAGAGACAGGGTCTCACTCCATCACCCAGGCTGGAGTGCAGTGGTGCAATCTCAGCTCACTGCAACCTCTGCCTCCTCAGTTCAAGCGATTCTCCTGCCTCAGCTTCCCGAGTAGCTGGGACTACAGGCGTGGGCCACCATGCCTGGCTTATTTTTGTATTTTTAGTAGACACAGGGCTTCACCATGCTGGCCAGGCTGGTCTCAAACTCCCGACCCTGTGATCTCCCCGCCTTGGCCTCCCAAAGTGATGGGATTACAGGCATGAGCCACCATGTCCGGCCCATTCTCAATATTGAGTAGTGTTTGTTCTGTTCAGTTGACAGAACTCCACTGAGTGCTTATGGTGTGTAATAAACTTTGCTGAAGGGGGCTACAATGAAAAGTAAAAATGCTGCAACCACAGAAATCAGAAAAACCTTAATGTAACCCCATTTGTCCCACAGTGAGGAAGCAGAGACTTGGAAACTGAGCAAGTGGCCCAACGTCACAAAGCTCATCCCGGCTGGCTAGGATTCAGGCCTCCTGGATCACCGGCCACTTACATCGCTGTCCAGGTGAAACTTCAGGTGTCATTAGTAGACCCAAAGAAGAGTCTCGATGGTGGTTCTCAAAATGCTATCTAGGGGGCCACCGACCTCAGAATCACCTGCTGGGTCAGTTAACATGTGAATTCCTGAGTCTCATCCCAGACTTCCTGGATCAGACTTTCTGGTGGTAGGACCCCGGAAGCTATATTTGTAAAAAGCTGCCCTGATGATTCTACCTTATACTGTACTAATTGTTAAGAGCCATATTTTTATGACCTGGGCGCTATGTCTCAGACTAGCCTACAACGATTTACATTTTCTAATGCTGGGAGATCAGCTGATGCAAGAGATGAAATACGAAAGTGAAGTGTGGTCCAACAATCTACAAACAGGCTAATGAGTTCTGAATGACTACGTACAAACATTGCAAAGAACGCAGGGAGACAGGCCCACATTTTACACACCAGGGAATTATGATGTGTGTACGGGAAGGATAAATTCGTTGGCAAAGGTCAGTTTCTTCTCCACCTCAACTCCAATCCTCCATCACCAATTCAGGTTCCACCCCATAAAGCAGTCACACGATCCAGCACAGCTTAACAAACTTGGAGCCTTATACAGTGAGGTCATCCTTAAAAAGCAACTAGGGTGCAGATGAAAATAGAACATGTGAATGATTCATTCTGTATTTCTCCAAGACAGTGCTGATGACTGCTAGCAAGTGAATCGACCCTTGGGTTCAAAGTGAGGTTTGATTAGAGGATTATTAGCGCCTTCATTTAGGGGACTCTTTAGAGGGTTGCTTGGGCCGTTCGGAGCCTCAGCCCCTCCACAACAGAGGCATTGATTTGAATTCAGCTTTTGAGCACAGGTGTCAGGCAACAGAAACGAACCAAACTGGTAGCCAAGCCCTACCTGAAACTTGAGGGGCGGAAACAAGAGTTAAGTGGGCTGCAATGAAGAAACTGGAAGAAAGATGGCAAGATCAGAAAAATTAAAAGTGTTCAAATGGGCAAGAGGTAAAAGTGGCATCTGCTCCTTTCTCTGGATGTTTTTTAAAAAATCCATATCAATGAACCAAAGTCAACAACTCTATCCTCAATTTTATTTTCCTCACACCCTGCTTTCCTCCCAAAGGGCAAACTTTGGATTGAAATTTGGAAATCATTTCACAAGTCAATAAAAGTTGGCCAACAGTGACATTATGCCAACACAATTCCGCAAGTCCCTATGGAGACACATCTGGAAATGGGCAGCAGCTCCCTACAGGGTTCTTCCCTGGGCACACAGAGAATGAGCACACGCCGAGGGAGAGCTTGCGCCCCATGTTTGGAGAGCGCATTTCTGTCTACTCACTCACTGACACTTCCCTACAAACAGGGAACCAGCTTCATGCGCACATTGTGGGCACATTCCTGCCGGCCCCAGTCTTTCTTTCCTTTGTCCCCAGTCAAGAGGACGCTGGGGGTAAGGGAGGCAGGGAAGGAGACAGGGAAGGGCAGTGACAAGCTAAAGGAGGCCATGAAGGGTTTGTGATGGTAGTTTCTTGCACTTAATATCATAGTCTCAACATAGAGGAGCAATTACCTACTTTAGCTTGAACGCACTGGGGTATCAGCAACAGTCACATGGGATCAGATTATTCCAATCACATGTGCATTCGTTATTTTACCTTAGTTAAAAAGACATTCTGGCTGGGCGCGGTGACTCACGCCTGTAATCCCAACACTTTGGGAGGCCAGGCTGAGTGGATCACCTGAGGTCAGGAGTTCGAAACCAGCCTGGCCAAAATAGCGAAACTGTCTACTAAATATACAAAAATTAGCTGTGCATGGTGGTGCACGTCTGTAGTCCCAGCTACTGGGGAGGCTGACACAGGAGAATCACTTGAACCTGGGAGATGGAGGATGCAGTGAGCTGAGATCAGGCCACTGCACTCCAGCCTGGGCAACAGAGAGAGACTCCATCTTAAAAACAAAACAAAACAAAAGACATTATGCTATAAAGCAGCCTTCAGATGAAGAGATAATGTGCCATGAAAGCAAACTAGTAAGTTGGGGGACTGCAATTCCACCCAGGAGTCACTGGTGTAAGAAGCTGAGGGGCATGTAGAATGCTGAGGGGCATGTTCAATGACAACTCATCCAAGCCCTTCTGCTCCTCTGCCTCCTGGGGGGACAGGTGGGGGCCAGGCCAGGCAGGGGTGGGCGTGCTCTCCAGCAGAAAGAGCAGGGAACAGGACATCAGAAGACCTGGCTTTTGGTGACTGCTCCTGCTTTCATAGCCACTGAAGTACACTGAGCTCCATCGAGACAGCACCAGGGCAAGTGAGAACCAGATGGGCAATCGGCAGCTCTGTGCCTTGCTGAAGACAAATAGCTAAACACAGGCAAAGAAGACCCTAAGAAGCTGAGAGGCAAAATCTCATCAGGTGCAGTCTGTGCAAACTTGCTGGGAGGAGCAGGAGAAGCAGCACCCAGCTGTCTCAGTCAGCTTTGCCAAGTTTTCTCAGAAGTACTCAGTGCTGCAAGGCCATGTCTGCTAAAGAGAAGGGAAAATCTGCGGACAGGGCAAAGGTGGAAAAGGCCTGTTATGAAAGAGAAAGGAAACCAGTATCTCTCCTAAAGGGGAGACAGAAAAAACATTAAAGGATCCTAACACACCCAAGAGGCCTCCTTTGACCTTCATCTTGTTCTTTCCTGAGTACTGCCCTCAAATCAAAGGAGAACATCCTGGCCTGTCCGTTGGTGATGCTGCAGAGGCGCTGGCAGATGTGGACTAACACGGCTGCAGATGACTAGCAGCCATATGAAAAGAGGGCTGTGAAGCTGGAGGAAAAATGCCAAAAGGATATTGCTGCAAACTGAGCTAAAGGAAAGTCCGATGCAGCAGAAAAGCGAGTTATCGGGGCTGAAGAAAGCAAGGAAAAAAAGGAAGAGGTGGAAAACAAGGAAGATGAAGAGGAGGAGGAGGAAGATGAAGAAAATGAAGACCAGGGTGATGATGATGAATTTGGTTCTAGAGCATTTTTTCTTGTATGTGAAGCATTTGACACCCACCCCCCATACAAAACCCATTCCTTTTGAAGAAAATAAGTGAAATGTAAGGCTATGTAGGATTTGTTTTTTAACTGTACAGTGTCTTTTTTTTTTTGTCTAGTTAACACACTACTGAATGTGTCTTTAGATAATCCTGTCTTGGTGGTATTTTTAATGGCCACTAACCTTGCCTGACACAATATGGGGTTGTAAGTTGGCACAAAAATTTAAAGCAGGTTCTTGGTGCACAGCACAAAGTAGTTATGTATGGGGGCGGTGGCTTATCCATCTTTAGTTGACTCCGATGAAGCTTACACATGATAACTGTCGTTCTGTTAACTGAGTACCACTCTGTAATTGCAACAACAAAAAAGTGGCAGCTGTTTGGTTGACATTCTGAATGCTTCAAAGTAAATACCATTTTTATTTTATTTATTTATTTTTTATTATTTTTATTTTTTTTGAGACAGAGTCTCGCTCTGTCTCGCCCAGGCTGCAGTGCAGTGGCACGATTTTAGCTCACTGCAACCTCCACCTCCCGGGTTCAAGTGATTCTCCTGTCTCAGCCTCCCAAGGAGCTGGGAATACAGGCGCCTGCCACCACGCCCGGTTAATTTTGTATTTTTAGCAGAGATGGGGTTTCACCATGTTGGCCAGGCTGGTCTCAAACTCCTGACCTCAGGTGATCCACCTGTCTCGGCCTCCCGAAGTTTTAAAATTTTAAACCAAAAAGAACCGTGACTCTTGTCACTTGTGGGCCACAACCTCATCATGACCTTAGGCAAATTATTCCACCGTCCGGAATAGTGTCCTCAACTGTAAAACGAAAGGGTTCAAGCAGAGGTTCTCCAAGCTCCTTTCGGGCTGTCAAATCCCCGGCTTTCACGTGCCTGACTAGAAGAGGCAGAACGTACACGAGTGGCGCCCACTTTGCTTAAGCGGATGATGGCGGTCAGCAGTATTGAATACTCTGAGGAGGAAACTGATGACCAGACTAGTCAGTGAAGAGCAGCCGCTAGCAGGGACATTTGATTTTAGGGAAAGAAATTCAGGAAGGGGCCAGCT